TTTAAAAGAGAAAAAAAAAATCAAAGGGGGCGAATAATTCTGACTTGAATCAATCAATCAAGCCTTTATTTGTCACTGCACTTTCATATAGACTCAGAATTGTTTTATTTAAAAAAAAAACAACTTATTTTATGAAGAAATCTTATGTATTGTTTTTCACATATATATAAAAGTTTATATATAACACGTATATATAAAAGTTATATAAAATATTTATATATACACGTGTATATAAAAGTTTTTAGTGTTTTTATATTCTCAAATATGATCATCCCAGTGAAAAAAACACTGAAAAGGTACGTATCTGTATACTTGTATATGCATGAAAAACAAAATTTCATAGTTAATGCATTTAATAAATAACTTAGTTATATTTCCAAAAATATTTAGAATTATTTTATTTGTTTTTATGTTTGTTTTTTTAATATTTATTTATTTTATTACAAATTTTTTTTATTAAATTCCAGTATAATTCATATTTATCTATTTGTTTTATTTTCATTTTAAATCATTTACTCATTTAAATCTAATTTAATCATATTTTTGTGTGCTGTATTTATTTAGATTATTTTAATCCAGTGTGTATTTGCTTGTTTATATTAACAATTTGAATATAATATAATAATTCATATTATTTTAATTTTAATATTTAAATAATTTTTTGATTTATGCTCACTTTCAGGGGTTTTGAGGAATGATAAATATTTTTATAATTGTAATATATAATATAATGCAGCTAGAGAATTTTTGTTCAGAATTATAAGGTTGGGCAGCACGGTGGCTCGGTGGTTTGCACTGTGGCCTCACAGCAAGAAGGTCTCTGGTTTGAGTCCCGGCTGGGTCAGTTGGTGTTTCTGTGTGGAGTTTGCATGTTCTCCTCGTGTTGGCGTGGGTTTCCTCCGGGTGCTCCGGTTTCCCCCACAGTCCAAACACATGCGCTATAGGGGAACTGATCAACTAAACTGGCCCTAGTGTATGAGGGTGTGTGTGAATGAGTGTGTATGGGTGTTTCCCAGTAGTGGGTTGCAGCTGGAAAAGTGTCCGCTGTGTATGCTGGAATAGTTGGCGGTTCATTCCGCTGTGTTGACCCCTGATGAATAAGGACTAAGCTGAAGGGAAATGAAGTGAATGATAAGGTTTATTCTCGCTCTGTGGTTGTTAGTCGGTGGTTTTCTGCAGTGCATGTGGTATTTCAGACTCAGATGCAGTAAGAGCTCAATAATAACAGCGTCCATTTTTAAAGATGAAAGAGTGAGTTTCAGTTTCTATTGGCGGCTATATAAATAAAGAGCAGATACAGACACTGATGTGTGTGTGTGTGTGTGTGTGTGATAGTACCGAAAACAGCCAAATGAGAGACCTGGGGCCTGTTTCAGTAAGGAGGTTCAAACAACTCAGAGTTTAAACTTGAACTCTGAGTTGATTTACCGAGAGATTAAAAACTCAGAGTTTTCGGTTTCAGAACAGCTGATCTGAGTTGGG